GCTGGGCTCCCGAAGCGACGCCCGAGACCTGCAGCTCCGCAGCCGCGCCAGGGGCTGTCCTCGACGAGACGCCGGCGCCGGGCCGGGGCAGCTGCCTGGAGACGCGGCGTGGACACGCAGGTGTGTCCGCGCGGGGAGCGAAGCCTGCCAAGCCCCCCACTCCGCGAAGAGGCAGGCGGGGGCCGAGTCCGGCGGCGGCCGAGGGCGCGGCCGGTCTCTGCGTCCCCGCCAGGGCTGGGGCCAGGAGCGGCCTGGGGAGCCTGCAGGAAGCAGAGCCTTCGCCCTGCAGGGGGCGCCCACGAGCCCGCGCCTGGTGGCCCAGGCTGCGTCGCAAGGGCCCTGCCAGGCAGCGTGCCAGCCCCGCGCGCGTTCCCCTGCGCACCCCGAAGGGACCCTCTGCAGGCGGGAGGGTGGGGGCGGCGCTCTGCACGCTCCGGAGCCCGCCGTTTATCTGGGCACAGCTGGCGTGTGCGGTGTCCCTTTGCAGGGACTGAGCAGCCCCGACGGCCTGCTGTAGGACATCGGCTGCCCGTTTCTTCGCTACAGGCGCCCACGCCGCGCGCTCGCACGACAGCCGCCGGCACAGCACGTGTGTGCCCGCACCAGACACCCAGAGGCTGGTGTGCAGGTGAACGCAGCCCTCGGGGCTGCAGCTGCTGGGAGAGGCCTCTGGCCACGAGGTGGCAGTAGCGGACAGCAAGCCCGGCCGGTGGTGCTGGACACGGTCCAGGGGCGCGGCGCGGTGTGGGCCTCGGCGGAGACCTGGGGAAGCCTGAGCTGGCCTCGCCCAGCAGGGACGACGGCGGGGGCGGGCCCAGGAGAAGGCCTCGCTGTGTACACGCCGGGCCGCCGGCGGGCGCGGTGGGGCGGCCACAGCCCCAGACTTCGTCACCGAGCGCGGGCCGGCACCGAGTCCCCAGCGCAGGGGCGGCGTCGCCGAGGGGAAGCGGCCCAGCCCGCTGCGTCTGAAACAGCCGCGTGCAGAGCGCAGCTTGGCCATGCCTCGGCGCCTCCCTCCACCTGCAGGCTGTCCCCAGAAACCCTGGTGCTGTGGGGCGGCCTCGTGCTCAGGGGACCTGAGTCGCGAGCCCGTGTCGCCCGGCTGGGCTGCGTCACGGCGGGGAACACGCTCTCTATCACGGGCTCTCCGGAAAACCGCCTCTTCAGAATGCTTAATGGCTTTTACACTTCAGAAACACCAAACGAGGTCTCAACAGCCATCGTCCACCGCCGTGGCTGCTCTTTTATGGATGCAAAGGTCAGTTGCCTCCTTTTAAGTTATAAATTCTGGGGGGCCCTCCCTGGCGGTGCAGCCCTGCAAGCCGGCCGCAGCCGCTTCAGTGCGAGTTCCGCCCCCGGTCCCAGAGGTGACCACAGGGCGCGGCAGACCTCTCCTGACCCACCGGCTGCTCCCCTCAGCAGTGTGCTTCCTCCATCTGCCTGTTCTGCTCCCCGCTCTGTGTCTGGTGAAGCCTCTCACCACCCTGCACCTCTGGCCTGTTACCCCAGTTCTGTATGCATAAATAAATCTTTTAAAAACTAAATTCTTAGGAGAGACTGTATCAAATAACCTCTTTCGTTTACCTGATTCAGCCCTCAATTGTGACTCTGACAACTCAAAGCGAATGAAGTGGAGGATGCGATGATGTATAAAAAATACTTCATGAAGATGGAGACAGAAAAATGTGGAGTATCCATAAAAGTAAGTTAGCCTTTAGGGCTATGGAGCAATTCAGCGCATTAAATAATACCATGTATTTTTACAGCATCAATAGAACATTTCAATAGAATACAAATGATAGAGAAAAGTGGATGAAGGCCGGAGATGATTTTAAACACGGCTTCTTTTCCACGGAACACTGTAGGGGCTAAAATTATATCTATTTAGCTTTTGAAACACAGTTATTTTTTTTTTTAAATTGCTGTGTTTCACAGCTAGTAAATGGCAGAAACCAGCCTGTAACCCACATCTCTGAAGTCCAAATTCATACTTTTAATTTTGCCAACTTATATAAAGGAAATCTTTCAATACTCCGGTTATCCGCATCACGTGTCTTGCCCTTAAAAATCAATGCCATTTTCATCATCAAAGGTTTTGAAATTTAGAGAATGAATGATACCAAGTAACCTTTATGATCATTAAGTGTAAGGAAGACAGAGCCACGTGGCACCAGACGGTAGCTACCTAGGAAGCAGGCTGACTGGGGTTGGCTGCCTTTGTCATGAGATATTCTCTTGTGCGTTCGCTCTCGTCTGTTTTGTTTTGACCTTTCTTTGCTCCCACGTCCGTGTGTACTCTGCGCTGGTCCTCCTCTCGCTCTGGACAATCTAATGGAGGTTTCCGTGGTCCATTGAAATAAACCCCCTTCGAACTCCCGTCACCGTCCACGCGGCTCTTGAAGGAGGCCATCCTGGGATTCACCGGGGAGTGCGGTAAATTAAGCCTTTTTCATTTCAACTTTGTTGACCTGATTTTACTATAATGTATTTTCGTAAACACACATCTGTTGTTTATCAGGAAAGACTAAAAGCGTATTATAATTAGAAATCTGCCAGTAATTTATTTGCTCCTTAACCACCTGCTTCATACAGGATGATATTATCTTGTGATATAACACGCTTTTGTTATAAAGCTAAACTCTCTCTCTGAGAACATGATCCAGGCTTTGTAAATCATCTTGATATTAGAATGACACTTCTTTTCAATAAGTTTTTGTGTCACAATGTCAATGGTCTTGCAAGTAGAGACTAGTGATTTTTTTTAAATGTGCCATTATACTGATGGCATCCATTTTTGCAACAAAACACCTATGCTGACCAATCACAACAGAGGCTTCCTACTCCTCAAAAATTCACATATATATGGATATAATGTAGTGAAAAATATCCTCTCAAAAATACTGATTTTCCCACTTTCATGTACTAAAGTATCATCGTCTTTGTCCTAAATGACTTGATTCCAGTCGCCAAGGATGATGATTCATCGCCTTTATTCTGAGTAGAATCCATTGCCAAGTAAAACGTTAAACTGCTGATGGGTATCACTAGACGGTGCCCTCAGCCATCGAACTGGCAATGCCTGTTGGGCTCCGTGAACTAGCCAGCGCCTGGTGGCGGGGCTCCAGAGCAGCGCAGGCTGCCCACAGCATGCTAAAAACGATATGGCACTTAGGTGTCATACACTTCTGAAATTCTCCTTATCTCTGCAATATAAATATTGTTTTGATTGCATGACATTTATTTGGGCAGAATTGACTGCCCAAATGGGCAAATGGGCAAATGACTCTTTGATAGATAAACATGGTCTAACGTTTCATTTATGAGCTTTCTTTTAATTTCTCTCCCCAGATGCTGTAGTTTTCGGTGTCGGGGTCTCCCATGGTTTTATGTTGTTGGAAACAGTGTGACTACTTTCAGTTGTTTTCACGTTTTGAAACATATAAAATACAAGGAGACAGAAACTCAGTAATTTTTAAAGATGCTGACCTCACCTCGCTGTCCTGTCTACCTGACTCCGAAGAGCTCATCTTGTATATGGTTGTACGTGTACATCTGCACCTATTCTGCGTGGTGTAGATGTATTTGTCCTTTCAAGCTGTGCTGCTTTTCTTGCTGTATTGCAGCAGCTAACGCCTCCAGTGAACAACTGGCTAGGAAGCTGAGGAACTCACATTCGGGCGCTGGTCTTGACTATGTCGAGAAGCAGCAGCCTTCCACAGAATGCCAGCCGTGGTTTTTTCATAAATACTGTTTATTAAATATACTTCTACTTAGAAGTTATCTATTAATTGACTTCTGTCTTTCCAGTTCCACGAACGATGCACTAAATGTATTTAAAGGCTCTCTGCTTCGAGAACCGTGTGCCCCTCCCCTTCATCTGTTAACTGGTCTCCACCGCCTACCTGGAGGTGCAGGTGCGGCCATGGAGCCAATCTATGGCATTGCCGGAGGAGCACCTGCGAGCGGGCGGGACGCACCTGACGGGAAGACGCCTTAGAGCGGGGAGGCGACGGCCCGGCGCTGGTGCGCAGACCCGGGAGCCAGGCACCGGCCCTGGGGCTTCAGGGGCCACTAAACCCCGCCAAGCCTCAGACAGGGCTGGCGGCCAGGCGCTCAGCTGCAGTGAGAAGCGCAGGCCGGACGCGGAGCCAGGCCTTCCGCTAGCAGCCTCCGCTGGCCAGGCGACTTGGGGCCAGGTGAGAGCTTTGCCTGAGCTGCAGGAGCCGACAGAAAGCCTGTCCCCGCAGACACTGCCCGAGTCCCAGTCGTGGAACTTCCTGGCACTCCAACTCGGGATAATCCTGTCTGAACTTGGCCCATGTTTTGAGAATGACTCAGCTCTTCAAACATGGCCCACCCACGGGGCAGCTGGAGCCCAGCCCTGGAGTGAGCCCCTCTTGCTGGACAAAGTGGACCCACTTTTGCAGACCTGGGAAGGCGGCAGGGCCGGCAGGGCCCCGGCAGGGAGTCCGGGTCATTCCGCAGGTAAGTCGCTCCCTGGCAACAGCCGAGCTGGGTGCAGCTCTCTGGCGCGGCATTGACAGGCTGAAGCTAACTGTCGGCAGAGTAATTCGGGATGTGCAAAGTACCTGCTACAACGTTAATGACAAACCACTAACTGTCTAAATAGAATAACAGGGGAAAATGCATAACTGAAGTCTTTGCAATCACCAAGAAAACACTGGATACCAAGTAAGAAAAATTAAGTTAAAAGAGTTTTAAGTTATGGGAGAGAATTTCTGGCCAACAGCACAAAGTCTTGGGAAAGCAAACTGTATTTTCACTCTATGCTATCAGAAGTTTTTGTGAGCCTATCAGCTTTCCTAACTTAACCCTTTTTATGAAGGGAGAATAGGAACGGGTTTAACAAGTCGAAGTGATGTTTGCTAACTCTGAAAAGTGTGCACGGAGTGATCTCTTTTGTGCTGAATGTCACATACAGGTCAGTCACCCTGTGTATCTGATTGTCCATATTCAAATGAATATCTGTCTCAGACTGTCTATCTCACATAGGACAGATGACAGATACTTAAGTGGACATTCAGAAATACCTGTGAGACTATAGGTCACAGTTACACATTGAAAATGAAAGTATGAACTGGGATTAATAAAACTGAGAATGGGTAATTTTTTTAATTATTGACACTTCTGTATTTTTTGTATAACATGTAACAGTGAGCAATAATATTCTATAATTTTAAATGAGGAACTGTGTTAAATGAGCCCATGAAAGAAAGGTAGAGTATGATTTATTCTGTAAAATCTCTGAGCAGAGAGAATCCACACATCATAGCAAGGACTGAGACATGAAGGAGGGGAACAGGTGAGGAGATGCGACCAGTAGTTTTGCAAGTTTCCGTGGTTACGGTCATTTTCAAACAGAAAACATTACTGTATAATCATCTCTCCGCGTTTTGAAGAGAAGTCCTTCCCCGTGGTGCCATCACATGGGTGCTTTTATTTATCTCTTTTAATTGAAGGGAGGAAGTCTTCTTTCTGAACCATCTACCTGTAAGATGTCGTCGAAATAATCCGCGGCTCGTGTTTGACCTTGACGCGTGAGTACGACCCGAGAGATCCTGTCTCCACTTGCACCCAGGGAAACACCTGATCGCATTTTTGTGATTCTAAGAGAATAATGCCATGTAAATACTCTTTCTTTTTATAGAAAACTACTGTATATGGATTTTTCTTGACATCTTACTCTAAGCCTAGTTGCTTTTGTAGTGGAAAGCTAGCAATTCATCTGAACGGTCACCCAGGACTATGCACAATAATTTCAGCTGATCAAATCAATTATTTACAGAATGAACTACAGTGCGGCTCCCTCTAGAAATCGCCTTTTATAGCACTCACTCCCGCGGAACTCTGAGGAAAGTGGCATTTGGAAGCACAAAGCTTGTTCTCTTCGGCGAGCTTAGTACATGTCGGCATCTCTCTGTGGTGCTGCCTCTGTGGTGGGCTGTCAGTCAGCGGAGGCCCCTCCCAGAGCTCACTGCACAGTGGGTTTGCTTGCCATGACGGAAAATTTTCCAGCTGGCAAAAGTAAAGATTGAGGGGGGAAAGCTTTGGACTCAGCAGGAAAGGTAATGGAGCTATTAGCCAAATACCAAATGCAGAGACGCTGGTACTGTGCAAGCCAGCAGCTAAGAAGGAGACTTCATGTCCCCCGGGGCCCGCGTTTAGGGGAGCGTCTGGAAGATGAAAGCATGCAGAGAGTGAGGGCACATCTTTGAAATCCTGTTTTTATCCATATAGAGGACTGCTCTGCATAAAGCGTCCAAGGTATTAGCATCTGGATAATTACCAAACAATACTAATAACTCCCTCCCACCAGTCGAGCTAGGATAAAGAAACCCTCTCTAAGTCCACTAAATTTTATTTTACTTTATGGTGTTGTATTATTGAAGATTGAGCTGCCTGATAAGGGCATATTATATATTGATATAATAATCAATAATGTCCTTGTGTTAAGGGGAGGACATCCTAAAGGAACTCTGCAGAGTCTCGTGTAGTTTCCAGTGACTGGAAACCACAACTCCCAGCAGCCCCCGGGAGAGGACTGCGAGGACCCAGGGGTGGAGCTAAGCGGCATTCTGGGGCTTTGGGGGTAAACAGGGGCCATTTGCTAGGTGCTCGCTCGCTGGGGAAACAGCTCCCCAGAGCGCGTGACTCGGGGCTCTCAGTTAATTTGTTACCAGAGCTCCAAGCCAGCCCAGCCAGTAAGATATTCCAGTTGTTGTTTCCTTTTCTTTGCCCTTTTTGTAAATAAACCCGTTTTTGACCCTTTTGTGTGCACCTGCAGCACGCCTGAATTTTAGGCGCGCGGGTGAGGCCCCACAGACAGGCGGCCCAGTCCACTCTGGGGTGCCCTGGAACACTTGAAATTCTGTACCTCTGTTCATTTCACTTTGTATGCTTAAGTGAACTTAGAGTTGCTCAAAAGATTTACTTTTTTAAAATAATCTAAGAAACGTCCAGACAATGATGGAGCCCTACGAGGCGCTCTAAGTAGATAGAGCTCAGATGAAGGAAGTTTAAATGTGCAGAATCACATGGCAAGTTGCAGCGCGCATTAGCTGTGAATTGCTGTATATAAAATGCACCTCAGCACTCAGCAGTTTCAAAAAACCAGTGTACTTTCACACCGTTTCTGCAGGACAGGGATCTGGACACAGCATCTGTGTGTTCTCAGGTGGCCGAGCCTGGTCATGTCAAGGCCCCTCGTGAAGAAGACTGGCCGGTGGTCCAGGTGCCTGTTAGCAGGACGCAGTTCCTTGGGGACCTGGCCATCGGCCCTCCTTCACTTCATGCTGCTGAGTGACTGGAGGTGACCCGCAGGGACGAGCCACAGGGGCCAGCTGCAGCCCGATCCCCTCACACTGACGGGCCAGGGGTACCCGTGTCGTCTGCGGC